ACCATAAATAAATAAAATATTTCAACATCGATGTGCTTCATGACGAGAATATGTTCCTTGAGTTACGTTATGTTGGACTTCGTTCATAAAAATACAGAAGGAATCTCCAAGGAATTGTGATAGACTGTCTTTATATTCGTTTCAAACTGTTAGATTCTCATGGTAGTAGGTAATACTGCATTCTTATATATTTATTCTTAATTTTTTGGCCACATTTATTCTTAGTTAGTCTAAGCGGTAGAAATGTTAGATTCCTGTATCGCTATTTATGTATATATGTCAAGAGATTTATTCTTCAATTTCAAAATTATAATATTAATATTACTTATACTATGGTTACTCATTATTGGGATCACCTTTCTATGATTGCCAACTCTATATTATCATCATCACCGTTAATATTATTGCCTTCAGTCATAAATAAAAGAGCTAATTAGATATTTAATTTGATCGTAAGACTTTAATTCATTTTATTTTACATATTTATTCATTTATCTCAAAATAGTCCACATGGTAATTGTATATGTTAAAAGATTTATGTTGTAATACACATGACTAACAAGGATAGTTTGGGACAATATCCATTTATTACAAATAACTAAGTTAACTAATTTTTTAATATTTACAAATTATTTATCTAGTTCTTATACTAAGGACTAAAAGAGTAGAGGTAAGTCCTTACTTCAATCCCAGACTTGAACTGTTTCAACATTAAACCCAATTGCTGCATCAAATGACAAAATAATTCGATCAATAACTAAATTAATGGGTCCAAAAAAAAAACTAAATAATTAACTATACATAAGGAAATTTAAACAGCATATATATAGACTGTCCCCACAATTATGCATAGAACCACATAAATTGAATACAGTGATTATCCTCTCAAAGCTAGTATGAAACAGCATCTTCAAATATCAATTGAAGCCACACATAAATTGATTACAGTTACACTAACTTAAAGAACAAAGATAAAATTGCTGGTTCTATGCAGTTCTTGATTAGGCAAACTATGTCATGGGTCCTATAGTTTCAGTCAAGCTCCGTGCAGGTTCCTAGGGTTTGTTTTTTAAGATATGGGTCCTTGTAGTTTATTCTTGACCTTCCACCCAATAAAATGGCCTCCCCGATCCAGTCCTAACATAAGAGGCAAATGTTTTAAATGCATTAGAAATTAATAACCCTACGGCCTAAGCAATTGGGAAGTTGTTTGGATTAAAAAAGTTGCTCACTAAGCACACTTCAAAGGCACATTAAAACAAAATGAATTCATTCGACTTCAAAGTTTAAGCCTGTGCTCTGTATTTTTCTGTTGTTTTTAGTTTCTCTCTCCTGTACCTTTTCGGGTCATTAATAATACTCCCTTTTCATTCAAAAAAGTTCAAGCCTGTGCCATGTGATTGTGTGCCAAGCCCAAACACGTAGACCAAGGGAGTGTTTGGAAAAATCAAAACCAAGGTTTCAGAATCACTTTTTTGCAAAACGAGATAACTTCTTCCACATATTTATTTCGTAATCCGTAAAAGCACTTCTGAAACCATGGTTTGGTTTCTATCCAAACACCCCCAAAACCTAAGAAAGATCGCTACCCCGGCCCCAAAAAGCAAAAATGGAACCCGTGTTTATAGGCGTGTGCAGCTTTCAGAGTTAAATTCAAGACCCCCGCAAGCAGTGTTTGGAAAATCATAAAAGTGTTTTTAAAAAAATATTTTTTTTTATAAATTGAGTTAAATTTCTCTATATATTTATTTTGTATACTATAAAATTATTTTTAAAACCATGATTTTATTTCCACCTAAACACTCCTGTAATCGATATCACAATCAATTTAGAAGAATAATTTGATTCCAAGTATAATTCATCCGAAAGGTAATTAATACTTATTTTTTAATTTTATTTTTGTAATTAATGTTTAAATACAACTTTTTGTGTTTTTCTCTTTTCTTCACAGTTTCATTTAAAATGATTAAAATTTTTAAAAAAATCATTGTGGAATATTTAAGGGAAAATGACAGATAAAGAAGCTCCAAAATGTGAAATGCCAATTTGGGAAGCTAAGGAAATGTAATTACCCATAGGGAAGTCCTTCCCAAATTGGAATTTTGAAATTCAGTGAAATGACAAAAATGCCCTTTGTTCTTTTTTTTTTAAAAAAAACCCAGCCCCTCACCGGTGGCCGGCGACCAACGACCATCGCCGGCGACTGGCCTCCGACGGCCGCCGACCGCCTCTGGCCACCGGCGCCAGCCACCTGTGAAGGATTTTTGTGACAAGATTTTTTTTTTTGGGAATAGGATAATATTGGTTCAACAAAAGGATGGCCATTGGGCCATCAAAGATTTCTTAACCTTATAATGCAAACAAAAATATAAGTTAACTCTTTTACTGTGACTTCAGCTCGTGATAACAATTTATTTGAGGATGACAAGTCTAAATTTGATATTAACAAAGCAACTTTTCCTTATACATAACAAATAGCAGCATGTGCATTAATTAAAAATGATCATAATTAGCTAACTATTATTTTATGTTTTTGATAATTAGTTAAAGTGACATATTGTAAATTGGAGGGAGCACACATAGGTTTCTTTTTTATTGAGCCACTTGATCCAAAGTCTTCGTAATGACGCATGTCACGCGACTCTTGCTTTTGCTGCTAATGACGTACAAAATGGTTTTAAAATTTTTGTGCGTCTCATTTGTCACTTTGACTTTGTTGCATTCGCTTTTTAGTTTATTTTTAATGTAATACTTTATTTTTTTTTCCGCTGGAAAAAGATGTATTTTGCAAATCATAAAAATATTAATTCCTCCTTTAAGCTGACATTACTGCATTAAATAGTCTCTACCTTTAATTAGTAGAAGGGACTAGTTTCTCAACACATGACAAATTAAGATTGTTCACATTTATTAGTATCAAAGAGTGTATCGAACAAAATTGTTTTAATAGAACTTATATGTGTGTGTGTGTATATATATATATATATATATAAGAAGTGATATTTTTTTCATCTCTAAAGTACATGTATTTGGAGACTTGGTTTCAAATATTCATCCAAACAGAAATACTTTATAAAAAATTCACGGAAAAATATAATCCAAATAGTAAAGAATTGTAAGTAACCAATTGGAAAACAATCAAAGCCTTCTTTAAATCATTATTACTTTAAAAGAAAGCATAAATGTAAAACGTATAAAGTCAAACCTATTATAATTATATTTATAAAATATACTCTATGGCCCTTGCGTATATCTCAACTTCATTCTTAATTCAACAACATATCAAATCCTCATACTTCACTCACTTGCAATCTACATTACATATGAACAAATGTAAGTAATATAAAACCTCTCTTATATATTATTCATTCTTATTTTGCTAACTGAAGTTATAAGCTAATACATGATTTAACAAAAACTAACCCATGAGACTAGATTATCACTTTCAAGGTGTGGCCATTGTTGGTCCGATAGTGATTCAAACCAAAATTGTAGTGGGTAAAGGACAGTGTAGCACGCAGAAGGCAAGAGCAAGAAGCCAAAAAAGAAAAATGGTGGATAATGTGACGTGAGAGGTAGATGAAGGAAAAGGGAAATAAAAACCAAGAGGAAGAGGCGGCTTCATGTGTTGGAGCGAAGTAAAAGAAATATAAATCTACATTTAGATTTTTTTTAAATCAAGGTACAGATTTATTTTAAAAGTTTCCATGTAGGAGTGTTGGACGTCTGAAAATTTTTTTGATATAAATTTATCTTAAAAATTTAAAATCATAGTAATTTTGTCTCTCTACTGTTAAAAAATTAACGTTAACCGTTAAGATAGTGACGTTAACCGTTAACATTTTGAATAGTAGGGAACAAAATTGTTATAATTTTAAATTTTTAGAATAAATTTGCATCTAAAAAGACTTTTGGATGGGATAAATTTGCATCTTAACCCGCCTTTTTAAGTTATTAAAAATATTTTTCTAATGATATTTTGTTTGTTTTTTAAAATCAAAACGTAGATGTATTTATTTTAAAAGTGATCCAAGTATTAAAATTTGACTAGATATAGCTAATATCCAAATCATTTCATGGGGTTATTAAAAGTTTTTACTTGTTATTTACTATAATATTACCACACACATCCAAAACAATTCTTTTAGTAAGGCATTTCATTTGATGATGGTTTACAATTTTTTAAAAATATTTTATTAAAATGTAAAATTAATTTTAAAACATAAAACCACTTTCAACAATATTTTATATATTCTATATGTATATATGTTCTAGATCATAATTGACTCCCCAAGTCTTTTGACGAAAAAAAAAAATGTTCCAGTATACACGTCACATGCCCAATTAAAAAGACATTACATCATCAGGGAAAAAAGACATTGCATTTAATACTGTTATGCCTATTAAACAAGACTCATTACTAACAGAACTCGTGAAAAGCACCCAAAACTCATTCTCTTTAAATCGTCTTAATGTGATCTAGACAGTGTAGATTTAATATTTTTATTTTAATTTCTTTGAAATAATTATTTTAATAAGCATATAATCTGAAATAAAAATAATTTCTCGACTATCACTTTTTAAAAAATAATTTTATTTATTTAAAAATAATTAACTAAAAAATTTTATTTGGACCGTTCAGATAAGATTTGAGCTGTCATCCAGGCAACCACTTGTTTAGTCTAATCTTTTTTTTTTTTTTGGAAACAAAAGATATTCTTTTTTTTTTTAAACGTTAACAAGACATTCTAATACGCAACTTCATGTAGCTATGATCCTTTATTAAATTAATCAATTGAATTAGTCAGACGGAACGGGTTGATTTTTATAAGACGCTGATATTGAAGAAGAAAGAGCTTATCCATATTCAAGTCAACAGCAAGTCACAGCCATTAAACCCAGTACCCACGTATGACGTATCCACCAAGACTCGGAAATTAATCATTTTCTTCTCTATTTATTTCTTATGTATGAAAGCTTTTGTTGAAAATAAACAGAGGATCCTTCTCTTCAAACCAGAAAACAGAAACTTCCACAGTATTGAGGAAACCGACCATGTCTATCACCATCTTCATGCTGTGTTTGTACCTGAACATAGCTTATTCCGACAAGAACATGAGTGATGTCGGATTCATGTTTGGTGGATTCTTCAAGTTGGGAGGAGCCAGTGATCAGGAGCTCAAAAATTCCAACATGTCAGCACAAGAAATACATACCGATGGCGGCCTAAGTGAAGCTGGGCAAGTCTTTTACAATCTTCCTCTTCAATTCAAGAATTCCAATACTACTTCTGTCTTCTCTTTCTCCACCACTTTCATCTTTGCAGTAGTAACCACCGATCCTAGATTTCACGGCCATGGACTCGCCTTCGCTATCTCGCCTACTAGATTTATTCCTGGAGCTCAGCCAAACCAATATCTTGGCCTCTTCAATTCCACCTCCGATGGTCAAAGTTCCAATCATATTGTGGCAGTAGAGCTTGACACTGACCAGGACTTTGAGATTAGTGATATTGATGATAACCATCTTGGCATTGATATCAATAGCCTGAAATCCGCCAATCGATCTTCTGCAGGTTACTATAATGATCGTGGTGTTTTCAGAAGGATAGATCTCTCAAGTGGAGAACCGTTTCAGGTTTGGGTTGAATATAATAGTACGAATCAGAAACTCAGCGTCACAATTCATCGAATAAACATGCCTAAACCTGAGACCCCTCTTGTCACGCTGAAAAGAGATCTTTCTTCTTGTTTCTCTGAGTTTATGTATGTTGGATTCACATCCTCTAGCGGGTCAAATTCATCTCATTATATATTGGGTTGGAGTTTCAGGATGAACGGTCAAGCTCAGGAGATTCATCTTTCTCGCCTTCCTGACATTCCTGGACTTTTAGATCCAAATGACATGGGCGGAGGTGGGAGAGTCCACAAGAAAATATTGATAGCTATATTATCACTAGTGGGTGCGGTTATCTTTCTAATCTTGATCTATGGTGTGGTTATGATTGTAAGGAGAAGAAAATTTATTCAAGTTCTTGAAGATTGGCAAGTCTTGTATGGGCCTCATAGGTTCACTTACAAAGACTTATTCATTGCAACAAAAGGGTTTAGAGAGGGCCAACTTCTTGGTAGAGGTGGTTTTGGCAGGGTATACAAAGGAATTCTACCATTTTCCAATGTTCAAATTGCAGTGAAAAGAATTTCTCATGATTCAAAACAAGGGATGAAAGAATTCGTGGCAGAAATCTCAACCATCGGCCGTCTGAGGCATCCAAACTTGGTAAGGCTTCTTGGCTACTGCAGAAGAAGAAAAGAACTGTTCTTAGTCTATGACTATATGCCTAACGGAAGTCTCGACAAGTTCCTTTACCGATTGCCCAACAACAGCATACTCAACTGGAAACATAGATTCAAGATCATCAAAGATGTGGCATCTGCACTCTTGTATCTTCACCACCAATGGGTTCAAGTTGTCGTCCACCGGGACATCAAATCAGCCAATGTACTGATTGACAATGACATGAATGCTAGACTTGGAGATTTTGGCCTCGCCAAGCTATGTGACCATGGAAATGATCCTCAAACATCCCATGTTGCAGGAACTCCAGGCTACATAGACCCAGAAATTGTGCATAGTGGAAAATCAAACACACGTACTGACATCTATTCATTTGGGGTTTTGTTGTTAGAGATTGCTTGTGGAAGAAGGCCGGTCGAAACTCAGACTTCGCCAGAGAAAGTGTTGTTAATCGAATGGGTTTTAGATTGCTGGGATAAAGGAGACATTTGTGAAGCAGTGGATAGCAGATTGAAGTTTTTGGGATAAAGGATACCAAACGAATCCTAAATTCGCTCTTATGTTAGGGATGGAAGGTTGCTTCATATACAACTAAAAACCTAACAATTTAAGTTGGGTGTCTTATGCACTTTGTATTACATTATTACATGACTAGGATTATCTTTTTAACTGCCTAAGTGGAAGAGAGTACAATTTTGATCTGCCGACTTTGTGCATTTTCAAAGGCGAAGCGGCTCTCGTGACTCAGTGCCCAGATTTAGGGCATAACAAAAGAAAAACCAAGGATTTGAATGTACAAGGGTCATACAAAATGGCCACTCCAACCTATGCATCATAAACTCAACAAAGAACCATGTCAGAATCAGCATAAAATATCACGCGTTTTGGATTAGGGAATCTCTTCTAATTAAACAAATATTTTGCACTCACATTCTCCACACAAAAAATTGTTATTTACTATTGTTGTTTATCATTCAATTCTTTCTAGTCATTAGTCAATTGAAAAAAAATTAATGGAAATACGGAGGCCCCTGGTGTATTAAAAAAATACACACTCACTTAAATGATCTAGATAGTATTTTAAAGTTTAATTTTTTTTCAATTTTAAAAATACTATTTAAAAAAAAAGTCACTTAGGGGAAATATCTGGGGGAGAATGACATTTGGTTTCCATGTAAAATAAATTATTAATATTTTGGTTCATTAAGCATATGATCTGCTTGAAATTGACAAGTATAATATATATTGTATTAATAGCCTTTTTAATTAAAGCAAAAAAGTATTAATAATTCTCTTGCAAAAGACCCAAATGTCATTCTCCATGAAATTGCAAAATATTAAAGTGAATCCATTCTAATTGATCGATTCATCATTAGAGGGCTAAATTTATGGGGAAGTTGAGTCTTAAAGATACAGAAGTAAAAGTAAACTATATATTTTTAATATTTTATCATACATTTTCAAACTTACTTGACGTTTAATATGTAGTGCTCTCCAACATGATGATTAACAAGGGAATTTACTCCTTTAACAATAAAAATAAAAATATATTTATTAAAAACAAATTCAAACTTGTAAGAAGAAGTAAAAATAAAAAGGAAACAAGTCATCTATAGTTGACTTCAGGAAAAAAACTACTTTTTTATTTTAAAAAATTAGGCAAATATCCCGCGTTTGGGTGTGTCCCCCCATCTGTTTTTGTCAAATTATTAAATATGTTTCATTCCAACATTCTAGAAAATTTTCATTTGCATGCAGTTAATTTTTTGAAAAAGCCAAACATTTATATTTAAAAACATGAATTTTAACTTATATTCAATATAAAAATAGATGTTATCAAATAAAAAAAATTTAATAAATATTTTTAAGCTTGTCAAATAAAATTCTAGTCTTTATATTTTCAAAAAAAAAAAAACAATACATGATTATTTACGTTTAATATTCACAAATAAAAATTTATTTCTGTCCAAAAAAATTATTTTCTTGTTTGACTTGAATTTGGTCATACTTTCAGTTTTATATAACATATTTTTTCTCAAAAGATATACTGAAAAATTTATAATAAAGAATTTCACTATTTTACAAAAGATAGAAATAAATTTTATTCCACAAGAAATGAAAGATTATTATACTAATAGTTAAAATATATTATATCACTTTCAAAACAGTATGTTATTTTTTTATAATTATATTTTCGAGTTTTTAATAAATTTTACATCTGTTGATAACTAAGGTTCAAAACTTTGCCACCGAAGCACATTTTGCGGTCCATCCTTACCCGCAAACACATATTAAACATTTCTAAAGTGTCCATGGGGTAATGGGCCATTTAAAGAACATAATATCATGTCTGTACGTTGTTAAGAGGCTGGGAAATAACACACACACATATATATATTTGCCCCCGGGAAATGAAATACATTATACTCATGCACAGCGAGATTTCTGGGTATATTTTATACTACTTCCGATTCTAATTATAAGAACTAGTTGACTAATTTGAGGAGATTAAAAAATAAGTTAAATTAGTTATTTTTAATAAACAGGTATTGTCTTTCCTAAAATATCCTTACTAATCAAGTATATTAGCTAAAACTATCATTATTAGAAAGTCTACCTTAGGAAAAAATGTATAAATATGAGAGACAAAATAGATTGGGATCTTATATTTAGGACCAAAATAAAAGTCAAATGAGATCTTATATTGAGAACCGGAGGTAGTATTATACTACCTCCGGTCCTAAATATAAAAGTCAGTTGACTAACTTGAGTAGATTAAGAAAATAAGTTAAGTTATTTTTTTGTAATAAATATATGTTGTCTTTCCTAAAATATCTTTACTAATCAAGTTTATTGGCTAGAACTATTATTATTAGAAGGACTATCTTGAAAAAAGAATAAATAAATATGAGAGACAAAATGAATTGGAGTCTTATATTTAGGATCAAAATAAAAGTCAAATGATGTCTTATATTAAGGACCGGAGGTAGTACATAGATTACAGGCTAAGTTTTCTAATATATCATTTAATAATTTTTAGTTTTTGCTAATAGGATCTACCCTACAATGATGCCAACAAAAAAAAATCCCCCGGGACCTTAGTTAATAAATAAATTGTTTGGAATTTTGTATAGAACACCACCATCAAGAAATCCACAAAACAATCACAATTTTTATTAAAAAGTGAAAATTGATTTAGAAAATTTTTTATGATCCATGATGCCTCATTACTGGCTAGATTCTAGTTGTTATCCAATTTAAAGATTCCTGTTTGGAGCAGACTCGGCCTCCACGGGAGGCAATCAGGCAAATTGAGCATGCTTGTTATAACAAATTAGGAACAAAGAGTTGGTCCAAGTTACTAGACAAAACAAATCTTGATCAAATGGATAAAAACAAATATTAATATGTTCGTATATGTCCACTTATAAGTTAAAGTAAATTTGTGAATAGATAAGTAATATATATAGTCATAGTTTGTTATTGTTAATAATAAATTATTTAAATATATTAATATAAATTAATATAAAATTAAAACATATAGAATATAATAATTATTCAGATTATCATGACTATAAAAATTGCGTAACAAACATTCTAGAAACCAAAAAAAAAAAAAAATTGTATATAAAACATCAATGTTCATGGATATGTACTTGCCAATATTTGCCTAGAAAATGAAGGCTTATAGGATGCAATGTCTTTCTCAGACTCCTAGTGGAGGCATAAGGCATTGGAGCATTTCTGAGAATAATAAAAATAGAAGTGAAAGCGGGAGTGGAAGGGGGGATGAATCATCTTATATTATTCTTAACAATATTTGTAGGTATTTTTCCTTTATTCTTTATAGTCTAGTGTTATTATACAATTATTAATTCAACCATAAATAAATAAGATATTTCAACATCGATGTGCTTCATGACGAGAATATGTTCTTTGAGTTGCGTTATGTTGGACTTCGTTCATCAAAATGCAGAACGAATCTCCAAGGAATTGTGATAGACTGTCTTTATATTCGTTTCAAACTGTTAGATTCTCATGGTAGGTAATACTGCATTCTTATATATTTATTCTTAATTTTTGGCCACATTTATTCTTATTTAGTCTAAGGAGTAGAAATGCTAGATTCCCATATCGCTATTTATGTATATATGTCAAAAGATTTATTCTTCAATTATTTTCAAAATTATAATATTAATATTACTTATACTATTGTTACTCATTATTGGGATCACCTTTCCACGATTGCCAACTCTATATTATCATCATCACCATTAATATTATTGCCTTCAGTCATAAATATAAAAGCTAATTAGAGATTTAATTTGATCGTCTTTAATTTATTTTATCTCACATATTTATTCATTTATTCCAAAATAGTCCATATGGTAATTGTATATGTTAAAAGATTTATATTGTAATACACATGAATAACAAGGATAGTTTAGAAAAATACCTATTTATTACAAATAACTAACTTAACTAATTTTTTTAATACTCACAAATTATTTATCTAGTTCTTATGCTAAAGACTAAAAGAATTGAGGCGGTAGTAAATAAATTGTTTAAGTCCCCACTTCAATCCCATACTTGAACTGTTTCAACATTAAACCCAATTGCTGCATCAAGTGACAAAATAATTCTATCAATAACTAAATTAATGGGTCCAAAAAAATAACTAAATAATTAACTATACATAAGGAAATTTAAACAGCATATATATAGACTGCCCCCACAATCATGCATAGAACCACATAAATTGAATACAGTGATTATCCTCTCAAAGCTAGTATGAAACAGCATCTCCAAACATCAATTGACGCCACATATAAATTGATTACAGTTACACTAACTTAAAGAACAAAGATAAAATTGCTGGTTCTATGCAGTTCTTGATTAGGCAAACTATGTTATGGGTCCTATAGTTTCAGTCAAGCTCCATGAAGGTCCCTAGGCACACTTTAAAGGCACATTAAAACAAAATGAATTCTTTTGAGTTCAAAGTTCAAGCATGTGCTGTGTGATTGTGTGCTTAAACTAGTCCATCATTAGGACTATTCACGGGACGGATCGTGATCAGGACAAGCCCGTCTCGGTTCCGTCTTGATGAACAGTAACAAGACAGATTTTTTGTTCCATGTCCCGTCCTGTCCCGGTGTTGTTCCAGTCCCAGTCGGGACGAGACAGAACTTGGATTGAACCGAGACGTCTCAATTTTTTTTTTTTTTAATAAAATCTGATTTTTTTTCTAATTGTAGTTTTTTAGACTTAGGCCATGTAAAAACATCTTTTTGTTTTCTTTTCTATTTCTTGGGGCATCCTTAAACAAAAGCCCAAAATATTACATATCGTAGTCATTAAAAACTCTAAAGAAAAGTTTTTAACACAATAAAAACTTACTAGAAATTTTAATCATCAATAGTCTCAAATCATCAACAAATATAAAAACTCTAAATAAATATATCCATAGTTCCATACAATAGTCTCAAATCTTAAAAAAATAAAAAAAAATGATATTATGTAAATAG